ACGATGCCATGACAGAACGCTCGACTCTGCTCTGAATCACTACACATTGAATGATATTGTTATTTATTAGGATCTGTATCATCATTGTTAGTGAGCTATTAGTATGCATTATGTTCGTATTAAATGTGGGTTGCTATAAATTCGTGTTAGTACTTACGAGACCAATTTTCGAATTAATTTTACAGCGAAGTCGTAATTGAGGGCTCAATTGCTAAATTCGAATTAGGGTTTCACTAAACGTAACGTAAACGTGAACTATTTGTTGAAATGCATTAAAAGACAGGAAAATCTAATACATTAAGGCAAAATTGCGCCCTGAAACAAGTGTGTTAAGTGCCTATTAGTGTAATAAAATTTAGGTAATGTAGGGTTTACATGTTAAGTGCACACGTACACACCGTGCAGGTTTTTTGCCATCCAAGACCTCGTTCTTTACACGAAAGTGTTAAGATATCAGATAGAGCCAGATAATAGCTTAGATTGCTAATGGGCCTACATATGCTACAAATACGGTAAACCGCCTAATGGTAATTAAAGCTTTTAAAGGCGCGATGAAAAAACACCACTCCACGCCCAGTTTGGAGAAATCTAGAAAAACGCCCGACTTCACCCAGATACGTGGCCAATATTTAGGGATACAGGCGCTAACTATGGAGCGATATGTAACTACGAGAAATTGCGCCACAGCAGTCTTTAGGTAATGGATTAGATTAAAAAAATACTTAAGCAATTATGCAATGTAATCGATATGGCGCACTCAAACTATGTCGAGATATCCGTATTTAATCAGCGTGCACTTTGCACGACTTAAATGTAGTATTGACAAATAAATTTGAATCTAAATGTCTCTATCGCTGTTACGTTTAAATGACTGGAAATAAGCGTTCATTATTTCGTACTGGCCAGCTGATATATTAATAACATAATAAGAAATAGCACGTCTATTATTTTTTATGTCTAACTTTGATTTCAGTCACGGGCGCATGAAAATGTTTTCGTTCTAGCGTGTCTTGACTTGCTATTTATTGTCAAAGAGAAAAAATGAGATGCGTTCATGGTGTCATGAAAATTTGGCATATTGGCAAGCATTTGGTGCAGTGTGGGTGTGTTGGAGAGTGTGCGAGAGGCGTTCTCGCGCGCGCGGGCTGGGCGGGCAGCGGCCATTGGCAAGCGCGGACGCCCACGCGCATGCGCGCTACACCTCCCGCGAGAAAAATCTCCTCGAGGAAAACTCGCGCCGTTCCATATTCAAATTTTAATGTTTGTTTACACACGTGGGCGCGATAATAGCCAACCGATGACTCGAGAAAATGGCGACCGCGAACTTTATTGCACAACATTAGATAAATTTTCATTACTTTTTTACGCCTGCTGAAATTTAGATAAAGGATAAACAGCTGGTTTAAATATATTCAGGCCATTACACTTAGTTCAAGCGATGTAGGTTACAAAATTGTCATTAATTCAGTATATTAAAGTCACACGGTTTCGTTGACTCAATAAAAATTCAAATTACACATTGCGAACTGTTCTTTTAGTAGAAATGTGTATTAACGCATTCATTAGACATTTAAATTAATGCATTTTCAGTACTTTTGTATGTTAATTCGATGAGCATAAGGTTAAGTTCACTGTCGTAGCTGTCGCTAATGTTACAATTTTGTTTAAGGACAAGGTAATCCTATGTATAATAATGTATTCAAAAGAACTTAGATACTTATATTTTGTCATGGTTCATTATTTCTATACGAGCAACATTTATCATTATTACTTACTATTGGTTCGCTCATCAACTTTTTAATAATAAAATAAATAACTACTTTAACGCTCCAATTTCTTCAGCAAAAAATAGGAAGAAGGAAGAGAATATTTCGATTCTATCATCGATTTATCGCCCGAATATCCGTTGGAAAATAGGTCGAACTAGCGACACGATGACATTAGCGGCTATTAACAACTTGTTGATTTTAAAAGTTAGGTTTAAAAACATCGACGCGCCAGTAAATCAAGACAAACTACGTTAGGTTGCATGAGACATTGAAACGATTTGTTTTGGTCTAGTTCTATTGCTGGCATACATTTATGGAAAATGTGTTGCGAAAATTCACGTTCTATTTTTTTGTTTGTTGCTCTTTTGTTTTAGGGACACGCATAGGGGAGCATGGCATTTGAATTTGAATGTAAAGCGTTCAGTTTAACGCTCCTTTGTGAGTCAGTGGGCACGGTTGGCTGGCTGCGAAAATTCGACGTTCGCTCGACTCCACTCTACCGGCTGAACGGCCACAAGCGTTACTTTGTAATGTTTCTGGCGCGTTTGAATTTCGAATGATAATATATTGTTGACCGTGATTGTTCCTTATTTGAATAATTACAACTACAAAAGAGGTCCATATTGACCATCCACAAGAGGGTGTAGTAGAAAAATAGAGCTTTCTCTCAGTAATCGAAGTGGGGGATAATCATTAATGTCATCACGAAGTTGATACATTTTTATGAACGCTGGTTTAGTTTTTGTATAAAAAAATCCAAGCAATGACGTCAATGCCTTTGCATAGTCAAATGGCCGAATGATCATTTATTCAGTTAAAACCTAATAATAAATTAACAACAATCAACTTTTAGACAGTATCATATCTGTTTTAATGAAACGATATCTGAAACTAATAGCCAAGGGTGGTAGACCCTATTGTTTAAGCGTGCTAAAAGGTCATTCATTGTTTAAACGCTAAAACTTCCATTGCTAAGAATACCTATCGAATTAAAATTGGACGAAAACGGTCAAGTCCTAACGACCTTACAATGGAACGAGTACAAAGGAACATCAGCCTCGCGACTTGCGCAAATTTGATTGATACAAATGTGTAGTTATTGGGCAACGTGCGCCCGCGCACCGTGACCGCGGAAAACGCTGGTTCCCTGAACCACGCTAAAATAACCCAGCGACTCACGTCCACAACATAGTTAACTTATGTTTAGGAAAATAACCGATAATGTAATACATGTTTGCTTTTCAGCGGCAGTACATAATTATTTGAAACTATGTAGCTGCTATGTATTTAATATTCGTTACTTTTTTAACCTTTTGGGATGCCTCGTTAATTGAATGAATATTCATAAATTACACATGAGGTCCCATAACAAAATCTGATTTGCAAAATAGGCAGCTGGATCGTTTATTCTTTGACAGTGTTTTTTGTAATTTGCAAATTCCAAAGGTTTCACGACTATCTATAAAAAGATAAAAAAGTCAAACTGTGGATTTACAATATGGCGTCGGAGTTGGCAACACCTGTATCCGCTGCGCCGGCGCAGGGTGCTTCGCGTATGGAAAGACTAGCACATCAAGTTAAACACTGATATCTTATGTGGTTGGAATAAGTGCAACTTTGCAACAAAAATATATGGTTCAATTCGCTGTCGACTGTTCTTACATACAGTTTAAAAAGTTCCATCCTCAATCAATGCAATGTGATACACTTTATACATATTTATTTTCATGGTGTACCTACCACATAAAGTAAACTATCACAAAACCATAGTAGTACAATTTTTGCAGTGTCATTTCTAAAAGTTATCTCTGCCAGACGAAAGAGTTTTTATTTACCTCAATGATTTACAATTAAAAAAAAAATATTCACGAGAAACTGAAAAAAGGCCCGCTACTATTTTTGCAACCATAAATTCCTATACCGTATAAAGGTAATTTTTAATAGCGACACAGAATAATATGATTTCAAATGCATAATGCAAACTCGTATACCACATTACGATTAGGACACTGAAATAAATTGATACGTACAGTAGATTAAATTCAAATTATGCTATGCAAATATACAAGTATGTACTTTAACGCGATTTCTAGTTTTGCAACGTGAGTCATGTATTTTCAACACTAAAATTTATGGACGCTCAGACACCTCGGTATTTAATCAACTAATTTATGCATTAACTAAAAAAAATAAAAAAAATGTAATTTAAATACTCGTTGTTATCAAAGCAAATTTAACTTTATTGGTTGAAGTTATTTATAACTGTAATAAAAAGTGGTGTAGGTATCCACCTACCTATTTCTATTATAAATATAACTGGTGGAAACTATTTCAGGTAAATCAATTCTTACGTTTATAAAGTTTTGTTTGTACACTGCAAAAGAAAACTATTATTCGAAGTTCGGTAATGCCAAGTAATTACTAAGGTAGGCACCAAAATAGGCCTGTTCTTATCTCTCCTATTGTTTAACATAGTTCTTTCCTTCCCACGCTCGTGGGCGTCCGCTGATAACCGCTACCTGGTGACGTACGTGCCACAACCCTGAAGAATCTATTCAAGTAGGTTTTAGTAGTAACTATTGCTATAAAAAGGCTAAAATATCTCGACCCGTTTTAGACAGATGTTTATTAAAAACTTTTTAATTGATGCCTTTGAATATAATGTTAAAAAAACATTAGTCTCTTAACAGCTGCATAAGATCTACATATCGGTACACCAAGCAGAATGCTTAACACCACTAGTCGGCTTGCGGTCGCGGATGTTGCGTTTAAATCTTTTGTTTACGAGAACGTGTAATCTGACCAATGATTGATAGCTGTATTGTATTGACTACGATCTTCAAAGCTTTATTACACTTCCATTATAAGTGGTGCTAAGATGTTAGCAACGAATTAGATAGGTGTTTATCGACTTGTATAAATATTTAACGTCAAAAATTCAGCATACATTATCACAAACGCTACACATCTATGTATTACTATGTGTAAGTAATGTAAGTTAACCTTAAGCACAGTTCTATATGCAATTTACCGAATAAATACTATAAAAACACAACTTTGTATTCATCTCATAAAAGCAGAAATGCATTGTTGAATTTAAATATTTAAATGGAACGGCATCAAACAAAGAGTAGGGAGTCAAGTGCAAAATTCACCAGCGACCCACGCTCGTTTTGAGGACGGATAAAATGTAATAGGTATATGAGTTGAATCCATTATCCAATGACGTACAGCAATTACCCATTTAATGCAATTTGGGGCATCGTAAACTGGTCCATCGGGAGTTCTGGTACATTCCCGGCGTCACTCACTGAAAAGCACCAATTGGAGGAATCACTAGTGAGGGATCACTCTGAGCACAGGTGGTCGCGAGGGTTCGAGAGGAGCCGGGCATGTCAGGCGGTGCGTGAACGGGCGCGCGCGTGCGTCGCTGCGGCCGGCGCGCGACTACTCGCCGCTGAATGGCCCGGCGGAGGGGCGAAGCTCGCCGCACTCCCAGCGAGCTTACGAAAAACACCAATTGCGACTGTCCCCTCATTAAACCCTATCCATACACTGAGACACTTGCAATTTCGGGGATGACAAATTGACAACTCACTGCGCGACTCCGAGCGAGAAATACAAGGAGAGCGCGTTTTTAAAAGAGCTTCCGATCGAAGCTGGAGTGCCGCTAGCTCGCATCCGGTGCCACCTGCTCGCACTTGAGGAAAGATCGCGCGTTAGAAGGAGATGAAGTGATCGAGCATAACGCGGACCGGATGGCGGGCTCGGTTATGAATGAATCCGCCATCCTTGTCTGACGCACGGCCGCTGCGGAGTCTCTCTCGGGCGCAGGTTGTCGTAGAGGAAGTGAAAGGGACGGGAGGCGTAGTAAATATTGCGTTCCGTGGATCCGCTGTCCCGAGGTACTGAAGGTTCGCTTTTTGTGCCACCACAAAGGATAACCGTCTATCTCCATTCATAGATTTGCTGTGACTTAGCACGCCATGCCTCGCGGCTATAAAGATTTGCAACAAGCTTACCTGGCAGTTTTTATTATTCACAAATCTTATGGCAGTGCTAGAAAATAGATAGGTGATTATTTAACAAATAATACTCAAACGTTCATTAATTTTAATGTACCAACCAGTGGAGCTTAATACTTCTTTAATTACCAAGTTTTAATTATGTGGAGTAGGATGAGGTTGCGTTTAACTTCCTCTCAGTAGTAAAATGTTAAGAGTCTTTTAACTTAAAACACAAAAGAGTATGTCAAAATTTAAAAAAGCAGGCATAAATGTAAGTTATCTTACGCAATGTTTGCTGTCCAGCTTGGTTATTATGAATATCAATAATGCGCAAATATTCATTCATGACCAACCACGGACAGTGTTCACATTTAAAATATCCCACAAGTATTTATCCCTCGCATAGAGTTTTGAAAGTTTTTCCATACTTTCAAAACTCTATGCGAGTAAAAACAGCAAGATTAAAATTTCGTATGGAAAAATAATTCGATGCCTATCCGTCTTCAGACATTCAGGAATTAGTACAGACAACAAAACATCGATTGTACATTTTCGTAGAAAAGTAGCCTCTATTTTATCTACATAAGATAGCACAGCCCTTGACGTGTTGTCGTCTGCAAAAAGCGTTAAATAGCGAAAATAATCTGCACGTTTACTATTACAATATTGAGAATTTAAAACATAGGTTTTCCTAAACCCACTTCTCATATTCCAAATTCCAAAAAATTCCATATTGAACGGACGATGTATGTTTAAAAAGGATTATTTTGTTAAGTACAGTTATGTATTTTTTTCCTTGTCGGAAGGCGCGGCAGTATTGAATAGGGTTACCAAAACGGAACCATCGAATGAGGTACATACAGCCCATGCGTCACATATATTGACCTTGAAATCATCCATTTCCCATACAAAAAGCTATTTTTATGTACTGTCGAATTTTAACGACTAAATATTATTCTGAAAATCTGTAAAAGTAGGTAAGTAGTTTAAATAACACGATGACGTTTATGCATGTTGGAAATACAAATATAACCAAACAATAGGCAATTTTGAGTAAATATCAGTCTAAAGTTTATTTCTAATTCCAAAATGCTGAAGGTCGTCCGTCTTCTTTCAATACCTGTGTATTTTCAATAAGCTCATGGTGACAGCTAGATCGAAATAACGTGATTCTACTTAAATAAGTATAATATCGTTCATGTTAGGATAACTTTCAAGAAGTTCAACAACGTTTTCATTAGAAATCATCACTTGCATTTTCAGAATTCATTCATGGGAATTCTTTGTTACAACAATCTGAGTAACAATTCCCGTATTCACAAACATTACTATGAAGTCTCACAGTTTGCGTGGACGCACAGAGTGACACACGAACCAATCACAGAGCTCTATTCAACGCTGTGCGTTCGATTTTCTGCTTCATTTAAGCAAGCATCGTTTGTGAATACGGGGTGTTACTTCGATAGTAGGTATGTGTAGTTAATAAATGAAATAACGAGTGGACTATATAAAATTAGTTATCTATTCGATTTAGAATTTACAATGGCAAGATGAGACCATTTAGTGCAAAGTCGTTGAAGAGTCGTCTTCGTGGATGTTCGTTCGCGAACCGAACATTGCTCGTTCATTCGCCAAATGCTCGCCGCCCGCTCGCTGCTCCCTCCGGTCACGCCGCCCGCGGGCAATGTTCGTGCGTAGACACGGGGGTTATTCTATTATTACTTAGGTTCAACTTATGAGTCTATAACTTGAGTGGGATTAGATGACCCTAACCACTAGAAGCCTCGTAGGGCAGGCCAAGTATTGTTATCAGCTGGGCGCGGTGTTTGCGGACCGGCGCGTGACGAGACGCGTGGTCACCTTTTGTTGAGTGCACAAAGGCGACACGACGTGGAAGCCTTTTTTTGGTGGATTCAGTTTCCAGAAAAAATATTCAGTTTTGAGAAATATGAGAAATAGTGTTGGGGGTAAACACTGTCTGAACTATGGTCTGTTTTGAAATCACATCAATCTATGCTGCATGTAGTTACCTACTTTAGGTCATAAATCAGAGTGTAAAGTAACATATTCATTCTATTTCTCCAAATAATCTTGGTACTTGTAATGTAAAAGGGTAAAAAAGTTCATAAACGCGTCTCTAGCGTAATTTTAAAGTCAATCTCAAACTCACTCAAAACTAATTTTGACACTTATAAGTTTTGGGAACCACAAATATATTTGTGGTTCCCAATAAATAACAATACATAGGTATGTATGTATTTAAAAATTATGCTATGCAGAGATCTTTTTATGACGCCTTTAACAAACATTGCAAAATTTTTGTGTTTTAAATATTTTTAACAAAACCTTTAAAAGTTGACAATATTGACCGTATTGTGCAATCGGGTCCATTGTGCCGTTGACGAATATTGGTCAACAAGTCAAGTTGCTTTCGAAAAGTTTCGTTAAAACAAATAGAGGCGCAGGCGCAACAATCGAGTCTGCCGACAAACGGAGGATGTGGTATTGTGATCACCGCTCCAGTGCCTCGCCGGTATACCACGGACCTGAATGGGCTTGAAAACTCAAAATTGCTCACCTTTAGTTTCGTTTAACAGAAAAAAGCCTTAATCCTACAGGGATTCTAAGGATTACAAAAAATGCACTGACTCTACATTTAAGCCATCAAATCTTACTTAAAACCAAATAACGAAATGAGTTTTTTCTGTATAGCCCAAGGGTTCACTGGCAGAGAATGCCTTCGCTTTGTGTACCAATTTATGTATTAAGGTACATGATTAAATGAACATTTCCAGCCACAAACTCACAAGATTTGCCAATTGGGTCGATTCTGTTAAATCGTTTAAAAAAGTAGAGCGATGTCGTATCTAACATGAGAAAAAACCTGATCGGAGAAACATTATGCCTAATGAGAACCACACCGGCTTGTCACAATTAATGAGCTTTTCATTAAAAACCACAAAACAACGACATAATGGTGCATTAACTTTCGAAAACCTCATCGCTTGTGCGTTCGTAACGACTAACATAAATAAAAGGCAAATCAGAACATTAAGAACACTGCATACATCTTGCCACAAATCGATGGGATCCCGTCGGAGTACGTAACCTCCGCGCCAGGTGCTACGCGGGAAGTTCTCCCCCCTCCCCCCACCCTCTCGAACCTCCCGCGTCACTCACCCACACACATAGAACTAGAGGCGCTGTCAACGCACACTTCCACCCAGTCACGTGTGAGTGACGTAAACATCAATGTCCATGTGTGTTTCTGTAATTTATTAATGGTTTGCATTTGCGTATGCGCAACTCGTTGTGCATGAAAAATGGCAGATATAAATATAAAATTGAGTGGCCTCTAATTCAAAGTATCGTTATTTAAATGCATATAAGTGTTGTATGGACGCGTGAAAGGGACCGCGGAGCTTTTAGAGCTTTGCGCCACTTCGCGTCAGCTTTGTAGATGATATATTCGGTGATCGCCGCGTGTTTCTTTTAATGACAAACACGGTTCGGTTGTTTATTTCCATGGGACATTTATGGTCTTTTTTGTTTTTACTGCCTATTTAATCTATGAAACCTGTTTAACAGAACTTAAGTGATTTTTCGAGATCAAATATTCGTATTTATGGGTTAATTGTTAGTCCATGTTAATAATTAGCGATTCATGTAGATCTCCGAGAAGACGGAAAAAGAAGATATGAATTTGATTTGGACAATTAATTTCAAAAGCGTAAACGACCGGGCTAGGCAGTGAATTGTGAGCATTAGTAACACCGTGTTACTCATCTAAGGAATGCTTTTAGCTAAGCCATTGTTGACTATTCACAATGAATATTATCAACAGGTAGGCTCTATTACATTGTACGTCCTTCCGGTATCCGATCTTTAGTTGCATGACGAAAATGAACGTATCTTTTTAGCAATAAGGTTCACAATCGATAACATTGAGAGTTGTGTTTTTTGAAGTTAAGGATTCGAATGTCAACGCAAGAGAGCTTTGAATTGAAAGTAACACTTGCTGTAACGAATTAAGGTTTATGTTTAAATGTGTTGGCATTTTGAGGGTATAGATATTGCCCCAGGGCTGCCCGTCATCCGGTGTAAGGTAACACCGTGGGGAAATAAGAACATTTCAGTGTAAGACGTAACCCTTTAATTATACTACAGATTGCCAATATACAGTTAGGCACTTATAATTTTATCTTTCAATGCTTTTAGTTCTCATGGTGCTAAACCTGCTTTTGCATTTATTGCGATTTATTGAAAAACTTTAAAAGATTTTCTGCAATATACAATACGAAATCTCTGACCCGGTACTCTTACAAAATGTAATTAATGATTAATATTTTCTTTAATTCGTTTATGTCTTTTACATGTACAATAGTAAAATCACATGCAAAATTTCTATGTCCATATAAATTGGATCTACGCATCAACACGTGTTATCGTAGTCCAAAATTGGATTTAGTGCCAAAGAAAGTTTTATTAGTTTGGATGTGACTGTGACTTAATAAAAAACATGACTTATTGATCTAATATGTAAATGAAAAAGCCCGTATCA